GGAACTCTTGTTCTCTTGACTAAGAAAGTGCTTTTGCAGGCCTGTCTGTCCTTGCCCAGTGGAGGGAACCAGGCAAAGAGTCATGTGGCTGTTCCTGCACTGGCTGCATCTCCCAGGCCAGGCTGTGTCTTGGCTCCCTTGTGGTGGGTGGAAAGGTGGCTCCTTAACCATCCCCATCTTGTATTTTTTTCTCTCCCAGGTGCACCTGTGATTCAGAGCCATGTCCAGCTGCCAGCCTTGCCCCCCTTGCTACCCGCCCTGCAACCCCTGCTACCCGCCCTGCAACCCCTGCTACCCTCCCTGCGGCCCCACCCCGCTGGCCAACAGCTGCAATGAGTGCTGTGTCAGGCAGTGCCAGGACTCCACCGTGTTCATCCAGCCCTCGCCCGTGGTGGTGACCCTGCCCGGGCCCATCCTCAGCTCCTTCCCACAGAACACCGTGGTGGGATCCTCCACCTCCGCTGCTGCTGGCAGCATCCTCAGCTCTCAGGGAGTGCCCATCAGCTCTGGGGGCTTTGACATCTCCTGTATCACCAACCGCTACTGTAACAGGATCTGCTAAAGCTGCTGGTGACTGCCCCACAGAAGAACCCCCCGGAACCCGGAAGATGGAAATGGACTGAGCGTGGAGATCCTGACCATTGCTTTCAGAGGCACTGACCACCCATGACTCCACCTGCACTGGAGGAGGGGTGTCTGGGCTCTCTTAATCCTTGGTCCTTGTCTAAATTGCCTGTTTCTCCTGCTCATCTTTCTCTCTTTTTCTTCTCTGTTGTTTTGTCCTCTCCTGGGCTGTGATCAGTGGCTAAGCCCCATCCGAGGTGTGAACTGCACCATGGCCAAGGGACAGAGTCTCCTTCTGTCCTCTTGTGCCGTCTGCACTGCCATGCCCACTCAGAGGACCTGCTTTTCTTCTTGCAACTCATTAAAGTTTTGCTGCATCCCAGCCTGTGCCTCTGTGTGGTCCTTGTCTCTCCCTATGTTGTCTCCAGCTGCCAGAAAGGTGTTGATCTGGGGATATATGGCAGTCACAGATGAGAGCCCTGGGTCTTCTTCGAGTGGTGGAACAGTGAGACACTATAGCAGGATCTTCTGCCCTGTAATGTGGGCAAGCAGCTTGGAGAATGCCTTGTTTGCCAGGCTATCAGTAGTGGACTGTGGGGGGGTCTCTCTATCTGTCTCACCAAATCCCAATCAGCATCCTTGCATTGCTACAATGACAGACACATGACTGAGCCTCACTCTATACTATACAAGTCCAGTCCAATTTTAGACAATAGGTTCTTCTAACATTTTCCTACTTGGATGTGTGTGTGAACTTTCCTGCTTTGGAGTGGAAATGTCCCTTCAAGACTACTCCTTTATGTCAAGTAAGAGATCTGCCCATGATACCCATTGGTATGCTGAGTTGCACCAATATCTATTTCAATAGTTCTTTATTTTTGCGAGCTTTAATATAATTGCTTTAATTGCTTTGATATGGTGCACTATCCTGTCATATTCTACACAGTACTGATAGTTTTAGGTTTTATACTGTGTAGTATATAATTGTGATTAATATATTTTGTCTAATAATTTGCCACAATAGTTCATTTTACATATATGTATGTATGTATCTAAAATTTTTCATAATTAATATTGTGGGACAAAGTTATGTAAACCACTCACATTCTAGGGCTAAGATTGGATGCAGCCTAACCCACACTCCTCTCTGAGGAGGAATTTAGAAAGCCAGGGTGTCCTCTCTGCACCTCACAACTCAACAGGACTTCTCTAATAGAAGATCCCACTCCACCAGTGACAATTTGGTGTAGTTGGCAGGATGCTAAATTTGAGAAACAGACAAAACAGAATATTTACAGAGGCACAGTATAGTCAAGAAAACCAGGGATATGGTAATTGAAAAGGAAAAACATGCTGCCATTTTGGCATTGAGAGAAGTGTCTTGCCAAGCAATGAAATAAGGCATTTAGGCATGGTTTTACTTAACTAAAACTTTGCAAATTAGAAGTTGAATACCTTGGAGGGCAAGATGAAAAGGAATTGAATGCTAAAAAGAGATTGGCTGAAAACTTGAGGGACCAGTTTTATGACTTTTTGCAAAGAGAAAGATAATTAAATTTGCAAACTCCCTGTCTCAGTGGGGAACTGGAGAATAAGGAGTTCTCCAGCCTTGCTAATTAGGTAGACAGGGAGGCAGACTTCACTCAATGTGATCTCCCCATCTTTTATTCATTGTCAAAGGAGTTTGATGCAGTAAAGGCAGACTTCCCACCTCACCCTAAACTCTGCCAACTTGTAAAAACTTAATTAATTTATGAGGTAGAGCCCACTGTAACAACTAAATTAAACCTTGCACTGTGATGCAATTGGCAAAACTGCAAGAGCGATGTAGCAAGGATTCCACAGAAATCAAACTAGGCAAGCAGCTCTGTCAGAGCACACAGTCATGCCCAGCAGTGGGATGGCACACAGGGCTCTTATATTAGGCCCATTTCTGTAAATTAGGTGCAATGTAGGACGACAGGTATGATCCTTGCCTTTAGGTCCCAAGCACTCCACAAATAACAGCCATTCCCATGAGCAGTCTGTTGAGCCTAGACTGCAGGATCCATTTACACAAGTCCACATCCTAGTGGAAGAGAACAGGGGTTCCATCTCATCTGTTGCAGAATGAAAGAAAGTGGGGTGAAGAGTGTGGGAATACTATGCTCCAGCAGGGTGTGGGTGGAGGGAGGCAGAGATCTCTGAAGTTTGCTCTTGGGGAAAGAGTTTTATTGGGGTGTAGGGAGGTCCTGCCTCGTGCTCCCAGGTGTAGCACATGGCCAGGCCTGAGAAGGTGGGGGAGGGGAGAGACAAAAAGAGGGTTTAGGAGAGGGGAAGCCCCAGGAGGGGAGGAAGTTCTAAGGAGGGGGGGAGAGGTTCCAAGAGGGGAGGAAGTTCCAAGAGGGCGCGTGGCCCCTCGGAGCCCCCTTATCAGGGGCTCCTAGGTGGGTTGGGATAAGGCATGGGCCAATGGGGTTACAGACACTGATGTTTTAGGGGAAGGTACAGAGGTGTGGGATGAGCCACACATCTTTTGGGGGGTGAGATGGAACAGCCCATTTCACCCCAGGACTCATTCGAAGGCAGGAGTGACATCCGGCTAGCTGGGAGAACTGTTCTCATCCTAGCTGTATTATGAACAATCATATTTATCTATCATCTGTAACAGAAGAGTATCATGGTTTGAAAGACAGATATCTGCCAAGGAAGGAGGGACTCTCCATTGGAATAGAAAATACGACTATCTTCCCTCTAAATTATAACTTTGAAATTATGAGGCTTCCAGACGGATATATGGGAAAAAGAATAACAGTCCTTTACTAATAAATATATAGCAGTCCTTTAATAATAAATATATGTATAACAAGGCAAACAGCAGCAGCAGCAGCAGCAGCGAACAGAAGCAGACACCCAGCCCCGGCCTCTCGCGGCTGCAGGCACTTTCCCCTTGGGTGCAGTTCCGGGCACAGCCAGCAGGGGCGCTGCTGGCTCATGGCTGGTCAGGGCGGGTGCGATGATTGCCCCGGGGCTGCAGGGGGCGCTGTTCATGGTGGCTCTGGCGGTGGAAGGGATGGAGAAGGGGCTCCCCTCAAACTCCCCGTGGCAGCCGGTCCTGGTGCCCCTCTGGATGGTGAAATGGGCTGTAGCAGGAGTGGCGGCTGGAATGGCAGAGGCAGGCATATTGCGAGGAGGTGAAAAAAAAATGTAACAGAAAACTCCACAGCCTTAGCAGGAGCTGTGGGGGTCAGGTGGAAATGGAGCGTTGGGTTAGAGTGTACCAAAAAAGCCCAAGGCAGAGGCAGAAAGCAGCAGCTGGGCTTCTCTGTAGAAGATGCTGCACACAGCTGGGGGACACACCCTCAGGAAGGGGGAGGGGGTTGGGGTCCCAGGTTTTTCCCCTGAGGCACCTGAGTAGATGGAGAGGGTCCTTTCCAGACAATCGAGTGTTACTAAGGTCCCAGTTCACTGGCTGCTCTAATGAGCAGAGGCTAACCTGTGGTAAAGAAGAAGCAGTGCCAGGCTGCACTCCACACTGGTGGTGAATTCTTCCCACGGTAGCAGAAACTCGACATTCCCCTCCAATCCTGAGAGTGACAGGAGCCAAGCCCACTCCCTCACCCTCCAGCCAAAATCTTATGGTATCTCTGCCCTTCCAAGAGAAAGTCCCTCAGCTAGAAGAGCAGCTTCATCCTTCTCTCCACCTTGGCCACTTCTTTTGTCTCTTAAGTACCAGTTGTTATTATCTCTTAGGCAACGGATGGGAGAGAATGCAAAAAAAAAAAAAAAAAAAAAAATCCTGACCTCCAACAAACAGATGAGAGACTTAATAATTGGTCTGGTCCTTCACTGCTTCAGGCCTTGAGATTTTCTCTTGTGGAAGCAATAATTTCCTGAAATGACTTGCAAAACATTCCAGCTAATGATATGGTCTGTGTTTTAGATTCCTGCATTGTTAACTTTTGATTCCTGTGTTTATGTTCATTCCCTCATGGATATTTACTCTGAGGTCTGATGAGAATTCCAAGAATTTCCATTGGAGGAGCATGTCAGTGCTACCATAAACTGCATTGGAAGTCCTGCAGGGTTCCCTTGCAGGCTGGAGTCATTGGCCTGGCACACTCCCGTGGGGTGTTTCCAGGCAAGCTGACAGAGCACACAAAGCCAAAGTCCTTCCAGCCATGCAATCCTTTTTGGGAACCCAGGACATCCCTCTGGCTGCCCTGGCTGTCTTGAGACCCTGGCAGGGGGCTCCGAGACCTTGGCATGAAGTCAGAAACACCCGTGGCTTTGATTTTAGCTCGTGGAAAAAACTGCCAACTTTGTCTGAGGAATTACAAGCTACAAGCGTTTGAGTAGTGTGGTAGTTGAATTAACAGAGGGTGAAAAGGTAGAATTTTAGGGTTTTAAAATAAGGGGTTCAAGGGGATGAGGTAGAGAGATTTGGGTGTGTCCTGACCTTCTTCTCCTTCTTCTTGCCCTCCATGTTGTGCTGTGATGGTGACATTTTTCTATTGGTTTAAGGTAAAGACACATTGTCCAACATAAATGATAGATATTGGCATGTTATTGTAAACATAGTGCAGGTAGTTTTTAGTATAAAATAATAACACCAACTCAAGGGGGTTGGAGTCTGTCACAGACTGACCTACTAGACAGACCTCAGCTCCTTGAGAAAGCATGTTATAGATAAGAGAAAATAAACAACCTTGAGAAGCCAACCCTACACATTCTGACTTCTTCTTTGGCTGTGCGGGCTGGAAAGCAAGGACCTTTGCATTCTCGGGGTCACCTCGACCACCAGACCCCTGAGAATCCTTGACCAGAGAGCCAAGGATTCCTGTGTGTGAGGACAGGCACAGCTCACCTGTGGGACTGCTCTTTCAGAAAAGGTGCTCTCACCTTGTTCCAGTAAGGGCAAAAAGATGCATCAGGGAATTAATCTAAGACTTGCCCTGAGGCTGAAGGGATACAGGGATTCTCTACTGCGGTATGAGTCTGCCAGTTCCTGAGAGGTCCCCACCTGTCCCCAGTGCTCTGTTGCCAGGGTTGGTACCTGATGCCTGTCTCAAGTATCCCTGA